GCAGGTTTACAATATAATATCAACATTGTTTTTTATTTTACAGCAAAATGGGGGAAAAATATTGTAATGCTTCTTTTTACAGTATTTAGTACTTTTAGAACAAGACAGGCACAGCGTGGGGTCAAGGCTCTCCAGGTTGAGGCAACTTATGTAGCTGGGGAAAACGATGCAGGCCAGTCGTCACTAAATTAACCCAGCATAAATGGAAATTGTCCAGCCAGCCCTGCGGCCTTTCTCAATGTGGTTATACATACCATGTGTCCAGATCAACAATGATAGAAAAAACAAGTTCCAGCCATTTATTGACAGGTGGAGGAGCAACTTGGATCAGTCCTCCGAAGATATCGGAGTAGGTCTCGAGAGCCTCATGCCTTGAAACCAGAGATTGAAGCCTGTGGGTTCTTTGTGGTCTCGGGGAGTATTGAGTGGGAGTTTCCATTCGACATCAAAAGCCCTGCCAATTGGGTACTGGAGCAGATGGTTTGTCCAGGAAATGAAAGGTCCAGGAGCTGATCAGGGGAATGTAGACAGAACGCAGTTCCTTGCCTCCAGATGATGAGGTGAAAGGGATGCCCCCACCTGTATGTCACCTCAACCTTAAGCAGGTGTGAAGCATACCGGGTTTGTCATAGGAACTCCTCCTTGATTGTGTAGAAATTAATCCAGCACAAAAAATTTGATTTGTAAACTGTGGAATTATTAATAAATGGCAGATTTTAAGAGCCCAAACCGGTGGTGCAGATCACTCACACTGAAGGTTACTTACAGGTGACCAAGACAAAGGGGGCCACACCTTGTCACTGGTTTAACAGGACACAATAACATCATTTGGGAGCCCCTTATTATACATTCAGTTGCCAGATCGGGAAATGTCATTTTGCAATGAGAATCTGTTGGGTGTGGACAGTTTTGGTGGTCCGAGTGTTTTTCTTCGGCATGCTGAAGGGATCTACATCACTGGATGCCATAATTTAATTATTGATTAGTGGGTTTTTTTGTTGTTGTTTTTGGAGTTTTTCATCTGTGTTTGGGTTATTTTTACCATTTTTTTTTTTTTTTTTTTGTAAATGAGTATCCGGGCATTCTATGTACCCCTTACTCGTTCATGTATTGGGAGCTGAATATATGAAGGCCCACTTTTTTAAACCTTCACAACCACTGGGCCAGAGTTGTGGGGGAAGGAGCTTTATCCCCATCAACATGGGGGCATGGCAAAATATAAATATGAGGGATGTAGAAATGAACTATAAATGTTTAGGAAGATGGCATATTACACCAAGTGTGGCACATAGGTTAAATGGAGAGAATTCACCAATGTGTTGGCGGGGATGTGGAGGTAGAGGCACTATGGTCATATATGGTGGGAGTGTTCAAAAATACAGGAATTTTGGGAGAAAATAGTGCACCTGATTTTGAAAATTACTGAATTTGATATTATACTAGACCCAGAGACTTGCCTTTTTCATGGTACAGAGTTGTCCGTTAACAAATATAAAGAATCTGGTATGTGCTATTATTTGAATGCAGCAAAGGGTTTGATGCCCAAGTTTTGGAGGTTATGTGAGGTGCCGAAGGTAGGGGATTGGGTCGACCGAGTGGATCAAATATGTAAGATGGAAAAACTTTGCAATATGTATGAAGATAGGATGGAGAGATTATGCGAGATGGAATAGATGGGAAGAATTTAAAAATATTAAAAGTCAAAATTAAACGTGGAATGTAGGGGGGGCATAATGTAAAATTTAAAATAATAGCTATTTCTTCATTTTAGAGAAGGTTGGGTACCAGGAAGATAAGGAAATTGCAGAGTGGAATGGGTGGGGAGGAGGGGGGGGGGTGGATAAGAGGAATGGGGGGGGAGAGTTTCAGGGGGGGTAGGAAATATAAGTTTAAGTTAAAGCGAAGTGATAATTGTACTATAAGTGTAAAAGTGTGTCAATGATTTTTAAAGTATGAGTAATGTAATTAATTTATTTGCTGGAAAAGTTATAAATATTTAAATAAATTAAAAAAAAAACATGGGTTCATGGCACTTCTCTAGGTGGCTTCTGGAAGGGTACCCTTCCCATACCCAGCCAGGTTGCAGACCTAGATAAGGACCTGCTATAGATTTTTTGGGGGTCTCTCCCAATTTATATTAGACCTTCATCTAGGATAAGAGTCTGGTATGGATATCGAGGGGAAGGTTTTTATAGACTAGTAGGAAAGTATTATCAACATCAGATTCTCCAGTTTAACATTTTATCAAAAAGGTCTATGAAGACATTAGGAGCTCTTTGAGATATGCTAGAAAATAAATGCGCGGTGTATGCGTTCCAAAGACCGGCTCCAAGCGGGAAAAGGAAAAAGGACGGGGGGGGTAGTAGTTGGAGGAAAGGGGGAGGGGACAGTGTGTGGGGGGGACTAGGCTAGAGGGCCATAAGGGGGGTAGAAAAGATGTTTTTTTTTTTTTTTTTTTTTTTTTTTTCTTTCTGATGTCTCGTTTCTCTACATCCTACACATGTACCTTTTCACAGGTAGGGTTTAGGCCTCACCCAAGCATGCTGTTCAAAATGTATTGGTATTTTTTTAATGTTTTGCTTTAAGCCGTAATAAAATAATTGCTCACTGCCAAGGTTTTTTTTTTTTGGGGTCTTTTTGCATTGGTTCATGTCACACCCGGCACTGCCCAGCTCCTTGTCCCCTTTTTGTTTGACAATCCCTTGCCTATTAGCTTTGAAAATGGAGAGAATTGATTAAGATTCGCCTCTTATTGACTTCAGTGGAGTATGCAAGTCTGCAATTTTTGTGGATTTTAAACCTCCGAATGAAAATTTGAACCCAAGCACCTTTGCCCATCATTATTCCTGACAATGCTGTGAATGGGAACAGAGAATGAGATTCTCCTGCAGAAAATTGTAATAAACTGTTTATTTTACCAGTCAATGAGAATAATATACAGTGGGGCAAAAAAGTATTTAGTCAGCTACCAATTGTGCAAGTTCTTCCACTTAAAAAGATGAGAGAGGCCTGTAATTGGCATCATAGGTAGACCTCAACTATGAGAGACAAAATGAGGAAACAAATCCAGACAATCACATTGGCTGATCTGGAAAGAATTTATTTGCAAATTATGGTGGAAAATAAGTATTTGGTCCCCTACAAACAAGCAAGATTTCTGGCTCTCACAGACCTGTACCTTCTTCTTTAAGAGGCTCCTCTGTCCTGCACTCATTACCTGTATCAATGGCACCTGTTTGAACTTGTTATCAGTATAAAAGACACCTGTCCACAACCTCAAAACAGTCACACTCCAAACTCCACTATGGTGAAAACTAAAGAGCTGTCGAAGGACACCAGAAACAAAATTGTAGACCTGCACCAGGCTGGGAAGACTGAATCTGCAATAGGCAAGCAGCTTGGTGTGAACAAATCAACTGTGGGAGCAATAATTAGATAATGGAAGACATACAAGACCACTGATAATCTCCCTCGATCTGGGGCTCCACGCAAGATCTCACCCCGTGGGGTCAAGAACAAGAACGGTGAGCAAAAATCCCAGGACCACACGGGGGGGCCTAGTGAATGACCTGCAGAGAGCTGGGACCAACGTAACAAAGGCCACCATCAGTAACACACTATGCCGCCAGGGACTCAGATCCTGCAGTGCCAGACGTGTCCCCCTGCTTAAGCCAGTACATGTCCGGGCCCGTCTGAAGTTTGCTAGAGAGCATTTGGATGATCCAGAAGAGGATTGGGAGAATGTCATATGGTCAGATGGAACCAAAATAGAACTATTTGGTAGAAACACAACGCGTTGTGTTTAGAGGAGAGAGAATGCCGAGTTGCATCCAAAGAACACCATACCTACTGTGAAGCATGGGGGTGGCAACATCATGCTTTGGGGCTGTTTCTCCGCAAAGGGACCAGGACGACTGATCCATGTACAGGACAGAATGAATGGGGCCATGTATCGTGAGATTTTGAGTGCAAACCTCCTTCCATCAGCAAGGGCATTGAAGATGAAACGTGGCTGGGTCTTCCAACATGACAATGATCCCAAACATATCGCCCGGGCAACGAAGGAGTGGCTTCGTAAGAAGCATTTCAAGGTCCTGGAGTGGCCTAGCCAGTCTCCAGATCTCAACCCCATAGAAAACCTTTGAAGGGAGTTGAAAGTCCGTGTTGCCCAGCGACAGCCCCAAAACATCACTGCTCTAGAGGAGATCTGCATGGAGGATGGGCCAACATACTAGCAAGAGTGTGTGCCAACCTTGTGAAGACTTACAGGAAACGTCTGACCTCTGTCATTGCCAACAAAGGATATATAACAAAGTATTGACATGAACTTTTCATATTGACCAAATACTTATTTTCCACCATAATTTGCAAATAAATTCTTTCCAAATCAGCCAATGTGATTGTCTGGATTTGTTTTCTCATTTTGTCTCTCATAGTTGAGGTCTACCTATGATGCCAATTACAGGCCTCTCTCATCTTTGTAAGTGGGAGAACTTGCACAATTGGTAGTAACTAAATACTTTTTTGCCCCACTGTAGTTTCCTTAATAAAATACAATTTATTTTACTGTACATATTCTTTCTATATATTACCTATATCGAATATAGAACATTTGAAATAGAAAGCAACTTTAATCATCCCTTTTCATTACATAGAATTGTAACTTTTTTTTTTTTTTTTTTTTTTTTTTTTTTACAGGTTAATGATCCATGTTCTCGGTCATGTTGGTTTTCATAAATACTACAAAGCCACGTGGGAAACAGGCCATAAGGACTTCTTTAAATGACTGAAAGATTTTATTGGAGGATTCAATCAAAGCACAAGACCTATTGGTGTTGTAAATGGATGGATACTCTTCAACATTGATCCAGCCTCAGGGGACGACAGCCTAGAAGTAATTTCAATGTTCTGCAAGTGACTACGGCTTTATAGTAAAGTCCAACCCATTCCTTCGCAAGAGAAGCCAATTCAGAAGATCTTTCATATCTCACGCATCAGGTTCAAAATGGAGGAGAAGCCATTTCAGTGTTCTGAATGCGATAAATCCTTTACAAAGAAGGCAAATCTGATCAAACACCAGATAGTTCACACTGGAGAGAAGCCATTTGAGTGCCCCGAATGTGACAAAACCTTTACCCAGAAGAGTAACCTCAACTTACACATGAGCATTCACACCGGAGCCAAGCTGTATCGGTGTTCAGATTGTGGCAAAGATTTTCGAGTGAAGGCAAATCTGATCACACACCAGAGGGTTCACACTGGAGAGAAACCGTATCCGTGTTCTGAATGTGGCAATGCTTTCACGTCAAAGTCACAGCTTACCAGACACCAGAGGAGTCACACCGGAGAGAAGCCGTATCCGTGTTCTGAATGTGACAAGGCTTTTGTTACCAAGATAAGACTTGACAAACACCAGAGGATTCACACCGGAGAGAAGCCCTATCGGTGTTCTCAGTGTGACAAAGCTTTTACAGGGAAGGAACACCTTATCAAACACGAGAGGGTCCACACTAGAGAAAAGCCATTTCGATGTTTTGTGTGTCTTAAAGATTTTTCCGATAAGTCGCATCTTATCCGACACCAAAGGATTCACACTGGAGAGAAACCATATCAGTGTTCAATATGCGACAAAGCTTTTACAACGAGGGAACACCTTCTGAAACACGAGAGGGTCCACACTGGGGAGAAGCCTTATCAGTGTTCTGAATGTGACAAAGCTTTTTCACAGAAGGCAATCCTTATCAGACACCAGAGGGTACACACCGGAGAGAGGCCTTATCAGTGTTCTGAATGTGATAAAGCTTTTAAACAGAAGACAGATCTTAGCTCACACCAGTGGGTTCATATTAAAAAGAGGCCATATCAGTGCTTAGAATATACAACCCAGAGAGAGCTCGTTACACAGCAAAGTGTCCACACTGGAGGCAATTTGACAATTTTTTCAGAGAATCATCAATGACTGAAATCTGTTTCCACATGAGTTTAATAATTAACATTTTTATGGAGCTTTGACTGAACATGTAATGCATTTGCATCATTCACTAACTGAGCTGTGTTTCCTATATTACCTGGTCTTGAGCTGATACCTTAACAACACTGCCTCAGGGCAGGACTGGATAGAGGTCAACTGGCATCTTGCCAAGCCTCTGAAGCTTCAGTGGAAGAGTCCTTTCCAGGTTCTGCTGACTATTGCTATATCAGTCAATCTTGAGGGTGCCAGCTAAGCCCACCCCTCCTGTTTTATATGTTCCTCCCATGATCTACTCCTCCTTTCCATGTCCCAGCCACAGATCTACATGCAAAGCTGTCATCCATTAAAGGAGGTGGAAAATGGAAAGGAGTCATGGGATGGGAAGGGTGGGATTAGCTGGCACTCTCAAGATTGACTGATATAGCAATAGTCAGCAGAACCTTGAAAGGACTCTCCCACTGAAGCTTCAATCAGTCAATCTTGAGGGTGCCAGCCAAGCCCACCCCTCCTGTTTTTATATGTTCCACCTCCTATGATCCACTCCTTTCCATGTCCCAGCCACAGACCTACATGCAAAGCTGTCATCCATGAAAGGAGGTGGAACGTGGAAAGGAGTCGTGGATCATGGGATGGGAGTGGCGGGCTTAGCTGGCACCCTCAAGATTGACTGACTGATATAGCAATACTCAGCAGAACCAGGAAAGGACTCTCCCATTGAAGCTTCAATCAGTCAATCTTGAGGGTGCCAGCCAAGCCCACCCTTCCCATTTTTTTATATGTTCCACCTCCTATGATCCACTCCTTTCCATGTCCCAGCCACAGACTTACATGCAAAGCTGTCATCCATGAAAGGAGGTGGAACGTGGAAAGGAGTCGTGGATCATGGGATGGGAGTGGTGGGCTTAGCTGGCACCCTCAAGATTGACTGATATAGCAATAGTCAGCAGAACCAGGAAAGGACTCTCCCACTGAAGCTTCAGAGGCTTGGCAAGATGTCACTTGCCCGCTATCCAGTCTCTGTCACAGACCTGCCACAGACTAGGTAGAGAGAAGTCTCTGTGGTGAGAAAGGAACCTCTAAAACTGGATTAGGATTTCCAACACCAAGTTGTGGGATGTGTCCAAAAGTATCACTTAAGCTGACCACTTGTGTTTCATCCAGTTCTGCAAAAAGTCTGAGGGATTCCATCGGGTGAAGATTGGATATCCTTATTATCCTAAATCCAGCTATTGCTCATCTCCATAGACTAGCATCACTCAGCACAACTGCAAGAGATTTGAACTGTCGAGGTGTGGTCATATCCCTACTTCTTGGAGGACTGAAATTTTCTCTTTATTGGGGTTCTCTTTATTTATTGACTCTTTAGTGGACAGATATCCTTTTTTGGGTAAACTATGTTTGAGAAGAACACTTTTCAACCCTGGAAGCATTACAATGTTGGTCTTGAAGTGTAACTATGGGCAAAATTACTTTAGTAGAGCTTTATTCTCCTTTCAACACCACAATGCGATGCACACAACATTTGTGTGAGTTGTTACTGCAACGTTGGGTTGCGTTGACATCGATACAAGTTGGAACAATGGTGACTTTTTCATGGGATTGTGATTGATAAATATTATTAAAAAAAAATTTCCACATTATTTTCTTGGTGGGTCTGGAAATGGCCGGTGAAGACCCAACCCCATGTATTTGTTCAGAGCAGATCATCACTTCTAATAATAATCTATTGCTGCAAGAAGAACTGCACTAGAACCGATGTGCGTAATGTGACCTAACTCCACTTGGGACATCACTACACTCCTATGGGGCAATCTGTAAAAGCATTGAAAGCGCAAAAACTGATCATTTCAGCTCCTAGGCCTAGTCCTGGATCCTGGCTGTCAAAAACCCAACGGAACCCACAGGAGCTGTTGAGATGGGTGCGGTTTTAAATTGGCAATGGGAAGTGTAGAGGTTAACATAGTAGTTGTTGTTTTTCTGATTCTACCCTTGACCCTGCCAGTAGATCCATTATCTTTCTACTTCCTGTAGGAGACCATGTTGTCCTCAAAGATGGCATTTGAAGAAGCTGGGACAAACCAAACAACACTGCTGGGGGTGCTTACAACTATCAGCTTTTATTCCTATGGTTTAAACCTTTTTTCCAACAAACACGTGTTGCTGGAACTACTTTAGCAGTGTTCGCTGAAGTTGGGCTTCTTTTCCCCTTTTTACTTGGCCACTTGAAGACCAGCATGTTAACTACTTGCTGACCACCATACGTAAATATGGCCTGTCTAAAAGTAGTTCTACGAAGAAAATGGATGTGGCTCTGTGATGAATGAAGCCGAAGCAATGGATTTGTGATGAATGAAGCCGAAGCGATGACAATTACATCACTTCTTACTTCAGAGCTGTCATTCCTTGGCTGTTACATCCAGGGAGGCAGCTAATCGGGGAATAATCTGTGCTTGGTTAGTTACTTTGGGGGGGAGGGTATAATAGAAAAGACATAAAGACAACATTTCACCTGTCCAAAGCTATCTTGTGATGCAAATGATGAAAATTTTTTTAAAAAAATATAATTTAGAAAAAGTAGATAAAAATAATTATTAATAGCACCCCAGTACTTTTCATATATGTTTAGAAAGATCTTTCTTTTGGAGGTATTTAAAGTGATTCTAAAGAATCATTTATATATAAATATACACAAAGATATACTCACAGTGTGTGTGTATATATATATATATATATATATATATATATATATATATATATATATTTATTACACACAGTATCTCCCAGAAGTGAGTCCCCTACCCCCCCCCCCCCATTTGTGTAAATATTTGATTCTCTCTTTTCATGTGACAACACTGAAGAGATGACACTTTGCTACAATGTAACGTAGTCAGTGTACAGCTTGTATAACATGTAAATTTGCTGTCCCCTCAAAATAACTCAACACACCGCCATTAATGTCTAAACCTCAGGAAACAAAAGTGAGTCCGCCCCTAAGTGACAAGGTCCAAATTGGGCCCAATTAGCCATTTTCCCTCCCCGGTGTCATGTGACTCAGTGTTACAGGGTCTCAGGTGTGAATGGGGAGCGGGTGGGTTACATTTGGTGTTATCGCTCTCACTCTCTCATACTGGTCACTGGAAGTTCAACATGGCACTTCATGGCAAAGAACTCTGAGGATCTGAAAAAAAGAATTGTTGCTCTACATAAAGATGGCCTAGGCTATAAGAAGATTGCCAAGACCCTGAAACTGAGCTGCAGCACGGTGGCCAAGACCATACAGCGGTTTAACAGGACAGGTTCCACTCAGAACAGGCCTCGCCATGGTCCACCAAAGAAGTGGATATGCGTCCTATCTAGAGGTTGTCTTTGGGAAATAGACGTATGAGTACTGCCAGCATTGCTGCAGAGTTGAAGGGGTGGGGGGGGGGGGTCAGCCTGTCAGTGCTCAGACCATACACCGCACACTGCATCACATTGGTCTGCATGGCTGTCATCCCAGAAGGAAGCCTCTTCTAAAGATGATGCACAAGAAAGCCTGCAAACAATTTGCTGAAGACAAGCAGACTAAGGACATGGATTATCGGAACCATGTCCTGTGGTCTGATGACACCAAGATCAACTGATTGGGTTCAGATGGTGTCAGGAGTGTGTGGTGGCAACCAGGTGAGGAGTACAAAGACAAGTGTGTCTTCTTACAGTCAAGCATGGTGGTGGGAGTGTCATGGTCTGGGGCTGCATGAGTGCTGCCGGCACTGGGGGGGCTACAGTTCATTGAGGGAACCATGAATGCCAACATGTACTGTGACATACTGAAGCAGAGCATGATCCCCTCTCTTCGGAGACTGGGCCACAGGGCAGTATTCCAACATAACAACCCCAAACACACCTCCAAGACCACCACTGCCTTGCTAAAGAAGCTGAGGGTAAAGGTGATGGTCTGGCCAAGCATGTCTCCAGACCTAAACCCTATTAAACATCTGTGGGACATCCTCAAACAGAAGGTGGAGGAGCGCAAGGTCTTTAACATCCACCAGCTCCATGATGACGTCATGGAGGACTGGAAGAGGACTCCAGTGGCAGCCTGCGAAGCTCTGGTGACCTCCATGCCCAAGAGAGTGAAGGCAATGCTGGAAAATAATGGCAGCCACACAAAATATTGACACTTTGGGTCCAATTTGGACCTTGTCACTTAGGGGTGGACTCACTTTTGTTGCCAGCGGTTTAGACATTAATGGCTGTGTGTTGAGTTATTTTGAGGGGACAGCAAATTTACATGTTATACAAGCTGTACACTGACTACGTCACATTGCAGCAAAGTGTAATTTCTTCAGTGTTGTCACATGAAAAGAGAGAATCAAATATTTACAGAAATGTGAGGGGGGGGACTCGCTTCTGGGAGATACTATATGTGTGTGTATGTATGTATATTATATATATGTATGTGTGTGTGTATTATTATAATACAGGATTTATATAGTGCCAACAGTTTGCTCAGCGCTTTACATTATAGCGGGAGACAATACAGTTCAATACAAGAGGGATTGGAGGGCCCTGCACCTTGGAGCTTACGTGTGTGTGTATATGTGTGTGTGTGTGTGTATATATATATGTGTGTGTGTGTGTGTTTTTTTTTTTCTTTACAATAACAAATATGTCTGTACTGGAGCAGCCCGGATCCTCCCCTTCTCGGGTCCCCTGTGCTGGCGCTCCTGGCCCCTCCCTCCTCTTGGGTGCCCCCACAGCAAGCAGCTTGCTATGCAGTCACCCACTGCTCCATGTATCCATTCACACATGGAGCCACAGATCGGCCCCACCTCCTCTCTCTACTCATTGGCTGTGATTGACTGCAGTGGGAGCCAATGGCTCGGGATAGCCGAGACTCCAGTGCACATTGCTGGATCGAGAGGGGGCTTAGGTGAGTATCTGGGGGGGGGGATGCTGCACAGACAATGTGTTTTTTTTGTTTTTTTACCTTTTTGCATAGAATGCATGAAGGTAAATCTTGAGACTTTAGAACCACTTTAA